ACTTCTTTTTTTCTCCCTCTTGATCTACTCTCTCAAAACATTCCATCTTTGTGGAGGAGCTTGCAAAGAACTTTACATCAACACATGATGGTTAAAGACCCATGTGACAAAGCTGGGCAGGCATTTAACTTCTGCACTGCTACAGGTGTAACAGTTATCCATCTCTTCAATAAATTATGTGGCCTGAGGCATCAGCATGAGGTATTATTGCTCTACACTTTTGCTCAGACTTTCCTCTTACCTCGTATCTTCACACTTTATTCTTCTACAGACAGAGCATTGCTATTGAATTGGGAGTATGAAAAACATTGGGTAACATTTAAAAAGTTAAGGTAATCTGAAGGCTTCTTTATTACTTAAGATCTAACTGAAACCTCCCTAGGACAAAAAGGAAGTGTTCAGGATAAGCATCTTACATTTTAGTTCTGAAACAGAAATTTTGCATTGAAATGAGTGAAAAATATATAAAGAAAAGGGCAGAAAAAGAAAAATATAGGCAGTTTTTTCAAGATCTTAAAACCCCTGAAGGTTCAAATATATGTTTTAGTAAATAACTAAAAATACATTGTTTAAAAGTCTTTAAAAGATTAAAAAAAAAAAAAAACGCTAAAAGTCTATTATGCCATCTCTTATTTTAGTATTTTAGTGGTCTTTATTTCCCCTTTTCATTGTAATGACACCTGGCATGAGAGTGACACAGAAGAAAACCAGATTACTTTTTCTAACCACTACACACACAGGGCAGACAACATGTTCTTCCCAGCAAGCTCTTTTTGTCTCCAAGTTCATCCCCCTGCATTTGTCTGACACTCATTTATGATGTGGCTATGCTATAAAGAAAATACAAAAATAGATTGAAGTTCTCACCATTTCTGCTAAAGATAAATACAAGAACATTCCAGCTGTAATAGTAAAGATCCAGTTTTGAATGGATGAGTCAGTCGATAGAGAAAGGCCAATATAAAGTCCTAAGAATGCTGTTAGTGCACTTATAAAATTCATCAAAATTGCAATCTTCGTTGGGAGCCCTGTACTTAGCAGCACAGCAAAATCTCCTGCACAGAGAAGAAGGACATTTATTATTTAGCTGATAAATGTATTTTTAAGACTCTTGGTAATAAAATATGAAGGAAAATAATTAAAATATGCACAAAGATAGTGAATGATGGAGACCTGCCTTTAGGATTCTGTAGAATTAGTTATAAGTTTGTCCTGGGTGAAAGAAAATCTCAAAACAACAAAATCATATTGACTTGTACTTGTTTAGCAGTTCCTAAAGATAGCATACAGTATTGAGGAGTAGCTTTCCGTTAGTTCTCTATGTTCTGTGATATTTCCAGCTTGGATACATACAAAAGTGAAGTCACATGGTTTCCCAGAGTTTCTAAATCTTTCTCCACTGGGAACTTGCCAGTTCAAATCGTGTGGATATATTTGGAACATGGTCTTTGAGTGCTTTACAGGTGCTGCAAATCAGAGTAATCTATGAATCTGATCCCAGTATGAGTTTAATCCCACTGATTTCAGTCCTAATCAGTTGGAGTAAGTTGTACATCAGAATCCCATCACACATTTTTCTCCTAAAATGAAAGATTTCATAACAGGCCAAAACTAGAAGATTTGAAAAAATTTGCTCCATGACTGTAAAAATGTCACTTTGACACTGGGGCACTACTGCCCCAGAATTAAGGTGTCGTTGAAGGTAACTGTCAAGTATTTAAATTTGCTTCACTCTACAACCAAGAGTTACCAGTTTTACAGCGATCCTCCATCCCACCTTTTTGTTTGGCATTTTCTATATAGTACATGAAATCTTCAGTCATTTAATGATAGACATGAGAACCTGCAGTTCTCAAATCAAACTTCTCAATTCATAAACATTCACCAACACAATGTCAGGAGCAGCTTCAGCCATGCTGGAAGTTTTACCAGAAAAAGTCAATCAAGGGGAGTATACAACAGAAAAATCCTCCTGTCCTGTCTAATAGTAAAATAGGTCATAAACATTTTTTTATCTTATTGTTCTTGATAAGCAGCAGAAATGAGGGTAGTAAGAGGAATACTCGATTAAATAGCTCTGCTGCATGTTGAAATTCTTGGATAGCCCATTGTGTCAGGCATGGCCATTACACACCTGGGTCCTGCTTACAGGGTTTTTTTTTTTTGTTGTTGTTGTTGGTTTTTTTTTTTTTGGTTTTTTTTGTCTGTACACATAAGAATAGCAGGTCACTCCTGACTTGATGTCACTTGCATCTGGAGAACATCAAATGGGAAGGTATCCAGTAATGAGTACAGAAGCCTCCTCTGGTTATTGTGAAGGGCAAAGAAAGTATCGGTCTCATACTGTAATGTTGTAATTCATGATGCTATAAGCAAGAAATACCACAAATATCATACAGGAAAGAACTTTTTGGGAAACCTTGAAATGCAAAGTCAATCAGGAAAAAAATACACACATATATTTCTTACCCATTTCATGAGGAATTTCATGGCATAAAATAGCAACAGTCGTTGTCACACCTGTTTCTGTTGAGGATGAGAATGCTGCTCCTATTACCAAGCCATCAGCAAAATTGTGAAGACTGTCACCCACCAGAACCATTATTGCTAACAAGCTGATTTTTTTATCTAGAAAAAGAAAAACAAACAGATAAAAAGCCCAGTATTAATCCAAACAGATATTACCAGTTTTGTTATGTTACAAAAGATTTGGGGTTTTGGTGACATTACATATAACATTACAAAAAGTCATAATAATCAAAGCGAAATAGTGTTTATCTGATTTATCCTTGTTATTACACTTCCTTCAATACATTTGAAACAAAAAAAGTAGGTTCCAGAAGAATTCAAAATGAGATGTAAATACCAAGAAATAACTTCCTTATTCTTACTAGGCCAACTATTACCCAAAAAAATTAGGTTTGTGTCTCATCTCATGAAGCATCCTAAGGCTTTTCATTAATCTTTCTTTATTTGATGAAATTCACACAAGTTTTCTAGTTGGTATTTGGAATTCTTCCACCATTGCTCACAGAATCGCAGTGCTATAGTGCCGATGAATATTTGGTCTCATGCAGCTGATTGTTTTATTTCTGTAAAGCTTGCTACTATGGAGTAGTATTTGCAGGGTCTGCTTTTTTTAATGCAATTGTATTACAGTGAAAGATAGGAATGAAAGAGAACAAGCCTCAGAGTATCACTTATAGTACAGGGTTACAGCATGCTTATATCCAACATTTGTTCCAATCAATTAATGACTGTTATGCTCATAGTACTCCTATCTGGAGCACTAATCATGAGTGTAGATGGTTTTTTGTCTTTCCCTTGCTGCTCTGTGACCTTGTTTTAGTGTGGAACTGCATACTGGCTGTTCATGGCATCATGTCATCTGACATGAGTGGAAAGGTGCTACTAGTCATGCAAGTACTGAAACCAAACTAGGGAACTAGGGACAGTCTCTGTGCCCAGCCTGTAACAGAGACAGCTGGGTGGAATGCTGAACAGATTCCCAGGGAGGCAGTTTATCTCTTCAAGAAGCAGCAAGGCTCCATATAGGTTCAATGTCTAAACTTAGCAACACACAACTGGCTGTCCCATCCTGTACGTTTTTTCATTCATTTAATCCACAGTCCTACAGTCAGAGCTGCCTAATGTCTGTCAAGAAACTCATCCAGCTTCCCTCTACACAGAATGGACAGAACACTTTGAAAAGGGTTTGTTTCATGCCTGAAGGAACAGGGTCATTATTTGGGCCCTAAATATGTATTTTTCTGACTTTGGTGACCCCATGTAGACATAATATGACAGACTAAGGAGCAAACACCAAGCTGCATCGATCTGTCTGAATACAGTTATTACCAGGTCTCACTCCAGTAATATTTCTCTGAGATTACCATTTTATAGTGAAGGGTGATATATTTTTCTCACATAAACTGGCTAGAACTGAAGCCTTCAGACTATTATAAAAAACACACAGAGCACATAAAAGCCTAACAACCGTATTCAGAAAATCCTCCCTGGTTGTCTGGGAGCTCTGTGGGTTCAGAAAAATTGGCAGTCTTGTTAGATTTTGCTGCCAGCTTACAGAGCAGGATGTGGACGTCCCCGTTTTGCACAGCAATTTCTAAACACTATGGGCAGTTTATAATCAATAGTGCAGAGCATGAATTACATAGAAATAATAGATTGATGCCTTACATTAAGCTTGTGATTTGTAATAAGCACTGGCAAGGATGAATTCATGGCCTGCCCTGAGGTCTGATTAGTCTGTTTTGTTCAAGTATCTGATTGCTGGAGATGATACACCATGATTACTGGAACTCATTCCAGGGTGTTTTAGCATAACACAGGGATCAGGTTAACATTGTGGAGCAATTACAGATACAAGCTTTGTGAACTTACTTGACAGAAAGTTAAGAAGATACATGTATAAACAAATCTGAATGTTTATCTTACTTTACTTTCATCCTATTTTAAAGCAACTTTGTTACTGGCAATTATCTCACTGCATTATATTCCGACACAAACTATTAACTATTAACTTAGTACCTTGACTTTTTCTATAAAGCCTCCTCTTCTCTAACAATCTTACCTTTTTTCTTTGCTTAAATATGAGATCAGAACTCATAGTAAATTCTATTCTCTAAGTTTTATGAAAATTATGAAAATTATAGAATTGTACTAATGGGTACAGGACTCAGCCATATACTACTATACTTTTAAAGTTTAGAATAAGAGTTTAAAGCAAACATTTATCCATAAATAGATTTTTTTCCAGTGTTTCCATGACTAACAAAGAAAAAAATATTTCTAGTCAATGTAAAGTGTCACTAAGTACAACAAATATAAAATGCTACTGTTTGGTCTTCTCTGATACTGATAGACCAACCATGGATAAATGTGGAGAGTGTCAGTCAGACATCTTTTTATTTAGAAAGTTTCTCACTTTCTAAGTTAGTTCCTGACTATCTATTGACTCTTTTTGCATTCTTACTTGACAGGCATTTACAATGAAGTTTTGCAGTTCTGGAGTTGTCAGGCTTCTCTCTTAGACCTGCAGATTCCATTCAGTTTTGGGGAAGAAACACATCACTCAGTGTCAAGGTACCCAGGTATGTTTATACTCATAGCTATTTAAAATAACTGTAATGAAACAGACTTTTGTAATTATGTATTCCCAAAAAAAAAAAGCCCCAAATAACCTCCCACCCTTCCCTACTAAGGTTTCATTTATGGAGGTAAGACTCAGGTATGAGGAAAAATTAAACTATAGAAAAGATTACTGAGAAAAGACCCCAAATTTAGTAACTTGGAACAAATAACATTGAGATCACTAGAAATTTACTGGTGCTTAGCAGATAATGAAGATTGAACCAAACAGAAATATCTAGAGATTAACTATGTAGTCATGTTCAAACTGGCACTGGATTGTGTACTACTGGAGAGGTGAAAGAGAAAAAAGTAAAATCAGATTTCTAATGTTTCAGAAATAGAAATGAAGTCCACAAGAACAGAAGAGAACATTAAGAACCTAGAAGAAAATGTCACAATTAAATAAATCAAACAGATGACCTGAGATCACAAAATAAAGGGGAGTTAATTATAGTAATAAACTAATTTCAATTAAAATGTTATTTCCTTAGTTGAATGACTGCAACCCTACTGAATTCACCAAGGTCACAAAGTACAGTTAAAGGCAAAATTTGGTTTATACTCTATTTTCATATTTTTAGTAAGCAGCAAGAAAACCACAGAAGACAGTAGTCACCTAAATTCTCAGAAGCAAAGAGATTACTCTAAAATGGAGAGCCATCATGAGGCTATAATTCTAATACCTGTGATAAACCATTACTGGTTAAAAGAGTCTATTGCTTTATTGTGCAAGTGAAAAAGTATGCAGAATTATATTAGCATAGCAAGCCTACAAAAAATGTTTCACTGCTTTCAGAAATAAAAGCCTGAGCTAAGTTTAAAATTATGAAAATATATTTTGTATTAATTTTTGACTATTTCCCTTTAACCAAAGACTTTAGGAAAATAGATTGCAACAGTGAGACAGCAAATACTAAAGCAAGGACAGTGTGAGATTAATGAACTTCACAATTACAGGGTTGGCAGCTGAGAAGTTCTTTAAGCAGAGATTAAATTATCTAGCCAGGCGCCATCAGATGTGATGATGTGTCACACAGCAAACACAGAGCTAGGCCAGCTGCAGACTTTCTATTCCATCTTAGGACTGAAGGATTTTCCTGTCTTGTCTAGTCTTTATTGATACTAACTTTTTTTGCTGTTCACCTTGCTCTCTGGAGGAACTTCAGCAGGCTCAGAATCTTCCGGGCTTCTCTAGTTAAAAGCAAAGATAACGAGTCAGTGTTAAGGGTGTCTTCCAGCTGCTGCCATAAATACAGGAAAATATGAACAAAGTTCAAACAATGAATTAAAGATAATCAATGGTTATTTGCACAGATGTCTTTAGAATAATTTACTGGCCACTGCAGTGTGATTGGTATTGCAGTAACACATAAGAAAGAAATCTACCTCTCCCAGAGAGGGTTAAGTCTAATTCAGGTAGGAAGAAATATATTCATAGGCATTGTTGTAGCCCCAAGAAAGCCACACTTCTGTTTGCATACACAAAAATGCGAGCCAAAGATTAGAAGGAGCATTATAATTAAAATTGCATGTTTTGATTTTGTCATGACTGGATGACTGTATTTTCCTGGAGAATCTGTCCATAGGATTTCCACGAAAAAGAGATAGAGTCTTTTAGGGACTCATCTTCTTCACAGTTTTCTTGTGAAAACACAAGACTAAAAAATATCATCATCAATAGCTTTCATCCCCTTTCAAAATATAGGGGTTTTTCTTAAGGGTGGTCTCCAGTGTCTTGTGTCTTGTCCTTTAGCAAAGGTTGCATCTCAGCACCAGACAACACTGCCTGGGCATAGCAGCACTTGAGTGCACGCTATGGTGAAATTTACTCTTACTTCAAATGAAGAAAGAGACAGTGTTTTCCTCCTTATCCTAGAGAGATAAACTGATGAACCAGCCCTAATATTTAATCAATAGGTATTGCAACTTTTGGGACATAAGAGAGAACATGAGTAATCTCTCACTGTCCCTACCCCCTTGAGGCTTTGCTTTCTGACTGGAGAAATTATTTGAAATTTATGTGAGGGAGAGAGAAGCTAAAAAACTTGTTTTCTTGAAACTAGAAAGACTGAATTTTAATTTCTGAAGGCTTTTCCCCCTAAAAATGTATGTTAAAACCTATTATTGCAGCCAGTGGAGTCAACAACAGCACAAGAGCTCTGTGTTAGGGACATCAGCCACTGCTCCAAAAACTGTACCAGAGATGTGCACTGGCTACAGAATAGGATATGTTTATTGTTTGGTCTTAGCCTAGTTGTGATGAAGGATATGTTCTGCCGAAGCATGATGAGAGAAGGAAAAATAATTGTTTCTCATATTCTACATTTTAAAAGAAACATAAATGTCTCTAGTTCCCATGATTGCAGCCAGTCATATGAATTCCAGGAATTGTTCCACTTCTCCTACATTTATTCACATGCCACTTCTTTGAACTGTGAGTCAAAACTGCAAGACTAATTACTGATCTGAAGGATTTATAAGTTTTTCTTAGTCAACCAGTATTTGTCTTAGTATTACTCACATGATTCTGAAAAATTGGCTGCTCATGTACAAACGAGCTCAGCCAGGCTAATTCTATATAGATATTGTGATCTATGTAGAACTCTGAGGGGATCTTGCATCTGAGAGGAACAAATTGTTCATTCATAAACAGGAGGCTTTGACGTGTCTCACAAGATAGTAAACATGCTTCACTCCTCTGTTAGATCTGATTTTTATTGAGAGTTTTCCAACTTTTTTTTAGAGATTAGTGGTGACTCATGAGGCTCTTGCCCATCACAACTACATTAGTAAAACTGAGTCCACCTATGCATCGAGATATTGGATATAAACTGAAGACATTTGTTGAAAGAAAGAGAAAACAGGGTAAAATTTATGACTTAATTTAATTTGCAAAGATTTATCTGTCTGTATACTATCCACAGGCAAGTATAAAAGTATGTAACTTCTTATAGGTAAGCACCATTCCCAGATATACAAAGTGTTTACATAACTCTTCAAATCTGTGGAAAAATGCCCAAGAAGAGTCCAGGATTTAATCTGTTCACTAATTATGCACTTAACTCTCATTGCAGGAAATTGCAAAGTTTTTCCTAAGGGAGAGTCTGCCTTTACATATGATCAATGTATAAAAAGGAGGGAGAAGGAAAATCTTCAAGAATTTTATCAACAAAATGTATAACAATACAGGAAGCATATTGTTATATCAATCTGATATACGCTTAAGAAAAGTTATTGTAAAATATCTGTTCTTGATATATCTGTGAAAGCTCATTATAAATGTCAAAATCTACAGATTCTTGACAATCATGTCAAGTAATAAACAAAAAAATCAATAAATACTGAAAAAAATACAGATTTATTACATTCATTTTGTTCATTTCTTTAGAGGAACAGAGAAAGAAGAATTTAAATTTAGGGAATTATGTCATATTGGTAACCTACCAACTGTATGGTTGAAGTAGATTTGCCTCTGCCTGAATGTTCATTTAATTCAGACTCCACTGGAAGATCATGGGAATGTCCCCAGTGCCCATTAACTAAAGAAAGGCCCTGCTGAATGAAGATGCTTTGCAATTAGTTCTGAAACCCAATGAACACAGGTGCAGCATTTCTCAGTCTTTTGTGAAAATTTAGCATTTTTAATAATTTTTTTTTCCAAACAAAATACACTGAAAAAGATCACTGGCTGGCATCAACATTTCCTTATGCTTATTTTGTTAAAAACCCTGAGAAGTGAATCAGATATATCAGTGACTATCACAAAGGTTTGATAAAACTTAATTTATTTCAAAAATCAAATTCAAATTTGAAGATGAGATAGATATAAAAGTTAAATCTGAGGATTCATCTAGTTCTCAATAGAAAAAGTTTAAAAATTGGTGGGATGATGATAAAACCCTTCTCTCAAACAAGGAACAAAAATGACTCCTTTTTACCAAGCAAATAAAATACCAACATCCTTAAAATACTCTCATTCTATTAATCTCACATTATATTGTTCTGGGTGACTCAAAGGTAGTGGGAATAGGGAGTCATTGATGCCTAAACCAGACCAGTCTTCACACACTCTGTAAACAGAACAAGCAAAGGTTCAGCCTTCTTAAGCGACATTAGGGTTGTCTCATGCTGAGAAACTTAATGAGCCATCACATTTTGTGCTACACTATCCTTGGGCATAATCATATTTTCAGGCTCCAGCCATACTGAAATAAAGTAATAGAATTACTGTAAGCATGGCAGTGAGCAAGGAGACCTTATTAATAAAAATTGGCTCCTACTGACTGCAACACATTTATTAGATCCCTGGGATAGGGGTCAAAAACAATTTGGAAATTTTAAGATATTCTTGAAAATATCTTATGCTTGCATCTATCTTTCTATTGCATTTTTCTCCTCTTCAAACAGAGCCTAGAGCAAACAACAGTCACTGGAATTTCATATGGATACACACTTTTCACCTGCTTCAGTGTGACTCATGAATTCAGGCTTATGGAACGTGTTCAATTAACTGTTCCCTTTCTGGAATTATAAATATATATGGAACACACTCATGAAGGAAGCACAATCCACAGATCAAAGCAATATAGAAACTGAAAGTCAATCTGGTAGGACCACGTTGGAAAGCAATTATCAATTGTTCATTTAACGCACAGAAATGATAATTTCCACAATCATTTTAACATTCTGTGCATTCCAAAATCTCAAAATACAAGAGGTTTTTTTAAAAGATGAATTTTACAAAGCTTTACCTGGTCACGAGGTGTTACCAAAAGAAAGAAACACTTTTCTATCAGAAAAAATCCATGAATTCCTCCAATTATTCCCAAAAGTTTCCATATATATTCTTTTCCTTCATAGAAATGTTCTATGTCTTGTGCTTCATGTTTGTGTAAACCAAGAGTCTAAAATAAAAGAGATAAAGTAAAAAAAAAAATTAAAATGACAATGTTTTAATTTTTGCTACAGAAATCCATAATGAATTAATTCATTTTATTCCCAGAATTTTATTTTCCTCTTCTGTCAAAGTTAATTTGTGTTTTGAAATAATCAGCTGAATAATAGAGGATGAAATTAATCATGAGGAGCACAGCTAAACTTCTTCATCTCTCAGTGGTGAAAGTAACATTATTGTTAAGGACAGTTTTATGAAATCACCCTTTATATATATGAGATATATTTTGTTTGCAATATATTGATGCTAAAATTTATAAAAATTACTTGCATTATCTTAATGTGCAAATTTCATATCAAAAATAGGTAAGGAGCTACTGGAGAGGGTCCAGCAGAGGCCACAAAGATGTTTAGGGGACTCGAGCATCTCTCTTATGAAAAGAGTCTGCTGGAACTGAGCCTCTTCAGTCTAGAGAAGAGAAGTCTGAAGTGAGGGGATCTCATTAATGCATAAAAATATGTCAAAGGTGAGTGCCAAGAAGGTGGTGCCAGATTCTTTTCAGCGGCTCCCAGCAACAGGATGAGGAGCAATGACCATAAACTAAAACACAAAAAGTTCCAACTCAACATGAAGTAGAACTTCTTTAAACTGAGGGTGGCAGAGCACTGGCATGGGCTGCACAGGGCAATTGTGGATTCTCCCTCTCTAGAGACATTTAAAAAAATTGATGTGTTCCTTTGTAATCTGCTCTAGATTATCCTGCTTTGACAGTGGGTTGGACCAGATGATCTCCAGATATCCCTTCCAACTCTAACTATTCTGTAGTTCTGTAACTGTGATTCTGTGAAAATAATGCATAAATTAATTAACACATAATTAATACAAAAATGCATTTCTGTGGGTAGGTATGCTTCCTTCTTTTCCCTAGTGTCACAGCACAGCAGCCCTCCTTTGCTCTGAAAGTGAGGGCTCTAAAGACTACTGGATACATCACTTAAAACTGATCAAGGAAAGTACTTTCACACTTAAAAGGTGTTGCTGAAAGAAATGCATTTGTCTCACATTCAGTGAGAATTGCCTTCCTTAAACCACTCTCCCAGTTTTGCTTCCAGAGATGATGCATTCAGCATAAAGAAAACTTTAACCAGAATCTGAAGCTGCAAATCTCTCTTTCTGTGACCACTAGAAGTCTACTCATAACATCTCTGTCATATCAAGGAGACTGTTAAAAATAAAAGAATATACAATGGAAAAATTGGTTCTGTTTTGCATGTTATCCTGTTCTTAAAATTTAGATTATGAATTTAGGAAAAGCTCATGCTGCCCATTTTATTACAGTTCTAGGCATCAGGATTAATTAGGCTGGTAGCACCTGGTTCCCTGGAAAAATCTGTGGAGAGGACTGTGGATGGCTCATACAACCTTAGAACAATTTTTGTTAAAATGTGTCACAGAATCTGCATCATGAAATAAATTAATACCCATCTAGAAGGCGCCTTGGACAGGACTTGTGGAGTTTCTGAATTTTTTATTGAAAAATAGGAACCTTTCTTTCTTTGAATTCATCAATCATGAATTTCTACTTATTATTATTTTCAATCTCTCTCTGAGATACAGAGTGCAAATGTAATTGGGGTGTTGGGGAGATTTCATGGAAAGCTTTATTTATAACCTGATGAGCATTATCCAGGTTTAAATGAAACCTTTCTCCTCATCTGTGTAAACATTTTAAAAAGCACAGAAGTGTTTATTACTTACCTGAGGAATAAGATGTAGCAATGCATCTCCAGAAAGGGTTCCAACAGCCAAACCGACAAACAGCTGTAAAATGAGTGTATAGATTTCTTGACAGGAGTTAAATAAAATGAGAGTTGTACCAAACATAGATCCAATAGTAATAAGTAAAACAGCAACAGTGCTGTAACCATATTCTGTAGGGGAAAACAAATGAAACAAAATAAGGGCACCTTTAATAATCCAATATTTTTATTTGTATTTGAGTATATTTTACATTCATAATTGTTGCTGAGGGTATGTTTTCATACCTCTATATAAAAGCACGCAGGAGAAGTGATTCATTGTGACACTAGCTGATTTCAGCTGGGATTGAGTTAATTTTCCTAGTACCTGGTACAGGGCAGTGTTTTGGATGCAGGATGAGAATAATGTTGAAAACACACTGATGTTTTGGCAGTTGCTAAGCTGTGCTTACCCTGAGTCAAGGACTTTTCAGTGTCTCCTGCTCTGAAAGTGAAGAGCTGCACAAGAATCTGCGGAGAAGGGGGAGGAACACATCTGGGACAGCTGACCAAACTGGCCAAAGGAATATTCCACACCAGAGAACATCCATGCCCAGCATAGAAACTGTAAGGAATTGGCCAGGAGGGGCTGATTGCTGCCCAGGGATGAGCTGGGCATCAGTCAGCAGGTGGTAAGCAATTTTATTGTGCATCACTTGTTTATCTTGGGGTTTATTTCCCTCTCTTTATTTTTTTTCTTTTGTAATCTTCCTTTCCATTAGTGATTGCACTAGTAGGAGGAGTAGCATGAATTGTATATTTTATTTTATCTTAATTATTAAACTGATGATAGCTCAACTTATGGGTTCTACCTTTCCCCAGTCCCTGTGGAGGAAGGCAGTGAGGGGGTGGGCAAGTAGCTGATTCATATTTAGCTTCTATCTGGAAGCCACAACAGCCACATAGATTCTTCTAGTCATGTGTGAACAGATGACAGAATTAGAAGCACAGAAAACATTAATTTTTTCAGGCTTTACATGTAATAGTCTGGTACTTCCAAATTTCAGACCTTAAGAGCTAAACAGACTGTGGCTATAGAAATCAGAGGCACTCAGAGCAGCACAGTGAATACTGCTCTGTATTTGCTTCCTCTATTAGAAGATTTATGCTTGAGATTCTATGTTCTCACATGCCACACCTGTGTAACTTTACAGTCAACACCACATTTTTATCCAAATCATTGTCTGTAAACAAACAAAGGCCTAAAACCTCAAATAAATTTAGTGATCTAATTTACATTTGAAGTATAAACATTTTGGTCCAAATTACATTTAAAAATTTGCTGTGGAAATACATCCCTTCAGTTAATATACCAGGACCACCAGCCTATTTTTCTCAGATTACTGGGAGGATTTTGAATGTTAGTCTTATAATTACTCAGAGTTACACGCTGCTCATATTTGCAACATTTTGCACAGCATGAATCCCGATTAATTTCTATGGAAATCTTATAATGGGAGGTAGAGCATGATAAAAACACACATAAAGGAATTAATGCCAAAATATTTAAAACTGTCACCTAACATTTTAAACGTCAAGAGCACTGCAAGTGCTTAGCACCTCATAAAATCAGACAGCTAAATTCACAGACTGCACATCCAAATATACAAGAGTATAGTACATCTATATGGAATGTCTGGCCTTGGTGACTTAACCAA